AATAAAATCCAGGAAAATCTAAATTTTCCGAAATTTCCAAGTAAATCCAAAAAAATCTAACAAAAACCCAAAAATGAATAAAATCCAGGAAAATCCAAATATAATTTCTAGTCAATCCAAAAAATCCCAATACCCCAAATAAATCCAAAAACTGAAGAAATCCAAAAAATAAACAAACCCAAAAAAGTCAAAAATTCCAAAAAAATACAAAAAATCCGACAAAAAATCAAGAAAAACCGAAAAAAATTGAGTCAATCCATACGGCTATATAAAGCCAGGAAAATCCAAATACTCCAATAAAAATCGATAAAATCCAAAAATTTCAAATAAAACCAAAAAACCCAAAAAGCAATAAAATCCAGGAAAATCCGAATATATATTTGATATCAAAAAATCCAAATTTTCCAAAAATTTCACGTAAATCCAAAACATCCAAAAATTCCGAAAAAATCCAAAAATTCCAGTGCAATCCAAAAAACCCAAAAATCAATAAAATCCAGGAGAATCCAAATATATATTTGAGATCAAAAAATCCAATTTTTCCAAAAATTCCAAGTAAATCCAAAATATCCAAAAATTCTGAAAAAATCCAAAAATTCCAATCCAATCCAAGAACATTCAAAAGGTCCAAAGAAATACAAAAAATCCAAGTAAATCCAAAAATTCCAATGAGATCAAAATATCCAAAAAAATCAAAATTTTTGCAAACATTCCAAGTAAATCCAAAAATTCCGGTGCAATCCAAAAAAATCCAAAACACCCAAATAACAATAAAATCCAGGAAAACCTAAATGTGTGTTTGAAATCAAAAAATCCAAATTTTCCAAAAATTTCAAGTAAATCCAAAAAATTCAAAACATCCAAAAATATCCAAAAAAATCAAAACATTCCGAAAAAATAAAAAATTCCAATGCAATCCAAGAACATTCAAAAGATCCAAAAAAATACAAAAATTCCAAGTAAATCCCCAAATTCAAATGGCATCCAAAAAAATCCAAACAACCCAAAAACCAATAAAATCCAGGAAAATCGAAATTTTCAAGTAAATCCAAAAAATTCAACAAAAACCCAGAAATGAATAAAATCCAAATATAATTTCAAGTAAATCCAAAACATCGAAAAAAATTCCAGTGCAATATAAAAACATCCAAAAATCAATGAAAATCCAAATATACATACATGTATTTGAGATCAAAATGTCCAAACAAATCCAAATTTTTGCAAAAATTTCAAGTAAACATTAAAATACAAAAATGCCCAAAAATTCCAATGCAAACCAAAAAAATTTGAAAAATAAAAAAACTACAAAAAACTCAATCAAATCCGAAAAAGATCCAAAAATTCCGAAACAATACAAAATTCCCATAAAAATCCAAAATTCCAATGCAATCTAAAAAAATCACAAATTCCAAGAATCCAACCTAACGAAAAAAAAAAATCAAAAATTTTAAAAATGAAATATAATCCAAAAAATTCAATCAAATCCGAAAAATCCAAAAACAATCCAATAATTCCAAAAGAAATCAACAAAACCAAAATACCAAAAATAAAAAAAATCCAAGTAATCCAAGACTATGCAGAAAAACAAAAAATCCAAAAATTCCAAGCAGATCCAAAAACATAAGAAAAACAAGAATTGAAGAAATCCAAAACATAAAATAAATCCAAAAAATCCAAAAATTCCAACGAATGCAAAAAAAATCAAGAAAAAATTGAGATAATCCATACGGCTACACCAAGCCAAGAAGATCTAAATACTCCAAAAAATCGATAACATTTACAAGGAATCCAAAAAAATCTGAAAGCTCCAAAAACTTCAAATAAAGCAACAACAATCCAAAAATTCCAAATAAACCCAAAAATCAATAAAATACACTAAAATCCAAATAAATATTTGAGATCAAAACATCAAAAAAAAATTCAAAAATTGCAGTGCAATCCAAGAAAATTCAAAAGATCAAACAAATACAAAGATTCAAAAAATTCCAAGTAAATCCAGAGATTCCAAGTGAATCTAAAAATAGCAAGCATATCCAAAAAATACCACAATTCCTATGCAATCCAAAAAAATTCAAAAAATCCAAATATTCCAGAAATCCAACAAAACCAAAAAAATCCAAAAAAGCAAAATTCAAAAAAGTCTAGAAGATCCAAGTATTCCAAGACAACCAAAATAAAACAAAAAATTAAAGAAATCCAAAAATTCCAAGCAGATCCAAAAACAAAAAAATTGAAGAAATCCAAAACATAAAATAAATCCAAAAAAATCATAAATTCCAAAAAAATCCAACAAATAGATAGATAGATAAGTTTATTGCACAACAGTACAAACGGTTAGTTAACAGTGTATACCTACTGATAACAATAAATACAAAGATTTAAAAAATTCCAAGTAAATCCAGAAATTCCAAGTGAATCCAAAAATTCCATGTGTATCCAAAAATTCCAATGCAATCCAAGAATAAAAATATCCAAAAAATACAACAGTTCCTATGCAATCCAAAAAAAAAATCAAAAAGTCGAAAAATTCAAAAGTCCAACAAAACCTAAAAAAACAAAAATTTCAAAATGAAAAATCAAAAAAGAACAATATTTTAGAAAATTTAAAAAAATCAAAAAATCCGAAAACAACAAAACATCCAAAGAAATTCAAAAAACCCAATCAAATTAAAACAATCCAAGAAATCCAAAAAAAAACAAAATCCAAAAGTTCGTTAATCCAAAAAATTCCAAATATCCCAAAAATCCAAGAAAATTCGGCAAATCCAAAAGAAATCCAAAAATTCCAAAAAATTAAAATCCAAATAGATATTACAAAAAAAAAATCCAAAAATTCCAAGTATATCAAAAAAAAAATCGAAACATCGAACAAATATCCAAAATTCCAAAAAAATCCAAAACATCGCAAAATCCAAAGAATCCGGAAAAAGCCAATTTCCAATACAATCCAAAAAATCCAACAATTTCAAAAACTCATTAAAAGCCAGGAAAAACCAAATACTCCAAAAAATCCATATAAAATTCTAAGAATGCAAAAAAATTCAAAAATTTTAAATAAATTCAAAAATTCCGAATAAAAACTATCAAAAAAAAATCCGAAAATTCAATAAAAGCCAAGTAAATCCAAATACTCTAAAAATTTCAAACGAAACCAAAAAAATCCAAAAATTCCAGTGCAATCCAAGAAAATTTAAAAGATCCAACAAATTCAAAAATTCAAAAAAATTCAAGTAAATCCTGAATCCCAAGTGAATCCAAAAATTCCAAGTATATCGAAAAATTCCAATGCAATCCAAGAATAAAAATATCCAAAAAATACAATTCCTATGCAATCCAAAAAAATCCAAAAATTTCAGAAATCCAACAAAACCAAAACAATCCAAAAAACCAAAATTCAAAAAAGTCTAAAAAATCCTATTCCAAAACAATCAAAATAAAACAAAAAATAAAAAAAACCCAAAAATTCCAAACACCCCAAATAAATCCAGAAAATTCAAAAATTCCAAGCAGATCCAAAAACATAAAAATAAATCCAAAAATTGTAGATACCCAAAAAATAAAATCAATTCAAAAAAATTCAAAAATTCCAAAGAAATCCAAAATTTCCGACGAATCCAAAAAATCTTGAAAAACGAAAAAATCTTGAAAATACTCCAAAATCGATAAAATCAAAGGTATTCAAAAAAATCCAAAAGCTCCAAAAATTTCAAGTAAAACAAATAAACCCAAAAATCATTAAATCCAGGAAAAACCAAATATATCTTTGAGACCAAAAATCCAAAAAAATCCAAATTTTCCAAAAGTTTCAAATAAATACAAAACATCCAAGGAAATTCCGAAAAAATCCAAAAATGCCAATGCAATTCAAGAAAATTCAAAAGATCCAAAAATTCCAAAAATAAAAAATATCCAAAAATCGAATTAAAAAAAAACAGAAATTTCAAAAAAAATCAATAAATCAAAAAATGAGATGAGAAAAATGCAAAAAAATCACAACTTTTTCGTTTGGGTTTTTACTTTCTTTATTTTTTCAACTTTTCGGTATTTCAACGTCCTGATTTTAATTTTTTCACTTTTTCAAGCTTAAATGGATCTTTAAATAAGTAGTAATAATTTTTTCAATATTTTTTTAAATTTTTGATACAGAATTTTTTCATTTTTCAGTTATTGCATTTTACAAATTTTTCATTTTATTTTTTAATTGATCGATTCTCAATTTTTCATGTATCAACATTTTTGTATCGGGTTTTTGTTTTCTTTAATTTCTCATTATCTCGCATTTCCAATGTTCTGATTTTGTTTTTTTTCGTTTTCATTGTGAATTTTTTCAATTTTTTGATTTATCAAAATCCAAAGGAATCTAAAAATTCCAAGTAAATACAAAAAATCCCAAAAATCCAAAAAAATCGCTAACGCTGCCCGAAAAATTGAAGAAACGAAAAATTCAATAATTAAAAACTGAGAAACTACAAAATGGAAAAATTTAAAGTTAAAAAAACGAAAAATTTTGAACGCAAAACACTGAAAAAATGTTTGAAAGAACACGTGGTTTTAAACAGACCTAACCTCACTTTCGTGCTAGTCGCACCGTTTGATTGCTTTAACGATGACGTCACGTGTACACACGCTGCATAAAAATGAACTAGTACGCATAACTTTTAGGTGGGAGAAGATATATTTTTTAATATGGACAATATAACACTAAACAATAAACAAATTATAAGACGAGCAGCAGCCTCCTCTCGGTTTAATCAGAACATAACCAGAAGATAAAAACACGCAGAATCCACCCATCTCCAATAAGAAACCGAATCGATGCACACGTTGTGGTCTCGAGTTCCCCTTTTTGAACACACAAAAGTGTAAATCGTGAACTAAATTTACTACCTGAAAACTATAAATAGGTACTATAATTTTCTTACTTATGCAGGTCAGTACTTTACCCAAATGTTTAGACTTTTATTGGCAGCTTTATAGTGCATTTTGAACTCTAGTTTGTCTTTTTTTCAGTGCCGCCAGTCTGGCGCCAGGAGAGGAACATTTCATGATTTTACTTTCACACTTTAAACATAAACACAGACGAAAACATGAAAACAATTTTGCTTTTCTCTCTACTATCAATTCCCCCAATTCTAGTAAGTATTTATAAATTTTTGTTTACTTAATTAAGTACATAATTTATACAGGCTGGCTCCCACCGTAGAGTACGTCGCGTCTGTTTGGTGGAAACCCAGCCCGGAAATTCCTCCTTCAGCCCAGTTCACAAAGAAGTAATTTGCTACAACGCGTCGTGTTGTAAAAAGGGCTGTTGTCCTTGGTACGTCGATCTGTAATTCCCCAAACACCAAAATTTCACAAATTACAGTCCACATTATTCTAGATTTTTTGCCTTTTTCATCGTGTTACTTTTTTTGCTGTCCTTGAAAATTATAGAAAAGTGTTGGCATAAGTACTGCAGAGTTATGTCCGAAAGAAGCGTCACGAACGAATCGCAAGAGAACATCTTGATGACGTCTGCCAATCAGTCAATTTGTGACAAAATATCAAATTTGGTTGAGGGTTGACCAACTAACAGTTTGTTTTAGGCGCTTCGAGGGACGCCCTTCCGAACTATGGTAGCAATAGTAGCGAAGTACCTGCACTTCCCGCCTATACTGATGATGGCTTACCCACGTACGAAGAAGCTGTGTCGGCAAAGCGGTGAAGAACGTCAATTATAATAACACGTTGTGACGTTGAGAGTCATTTAAATAATAAAAATTGAGTATGATACATGTTTACAGTAGCATAGGTTCGTTTTCTTAATATATATAAGATAAAACACAGTGTCTTCTTAACAATAGGAATCCAAAAATCCAAAAAATTCAAGAAAATCGAAGGATTCCAAAAACCCAAAAATTCCAATAAATCCAAATGAATCCAAACAAATCCAGAAAATAAAAAAACAAAAATTCCTAAAAATCTAAAAATTCCACTAAAATTCCAAAAAAGTTCAAGTTTCAAAGAGTCTAAAAATTCCAAAAAAACTCAAAAATCCACAGAAAAATCCATAAATTCCAAAAATTGCAAAATATTCCACTAATACAATCCAAAAAAATAAAAAAAAAAATCCGAAGTAAATCCAACAAAATCGATAAAATTCCAAAATAATCCAAAAAAATCGATAAAAGCCAGGAAAATCCATAAATTCCAAAAGTTCCAAACAACCCAATGCAATCCAGATAAAAACCAAAAAAATTGAAAAAATCCAAAAATTCCAAATTATCCAAAAAAAAAAAAAATAAAAACTAAAGAATTAAAAAAAAAATAAAAAAAAATCAATAAAGTCTGACAAAAAATTAAAAAATAATATCCAATACAATCCAAAAAGAATCTAACAAACCGAAAAAAGCCAACACTTACAAATAAATCCAAAAAAACATAAAAATCCATAAATCCCAAAAATATAAAAAAATTCCAAAAATCCGAAGTCCAGAAAATCCAAAAGTATCAAAAAAAAAAAAAATCAATAAAATCCCAAAAAAATCCAAAAAAAATCGATAAAAGAGAGGAAAGTCTATATAATCCAAAAAATCCATAAAATCAACAGATTCTAAAAAAAAAATTCAAGAAAATCCATCAATTCCAAAAATTGCAAAAATCCAAAAGTTCCAAAAAACCCAATGCAATCCAAAAAAAAATGAAAAATTCTAAAAATTACAAAAATTTCAAATAATCCAAAAAATCCACAAAAAATAAGAAATCCAAAAAATTTGGCTGAAAAAATAAAAAATCTAAAGAAAATAAAAATTCATAACTTCCAGAAATTCAAAAAAAAACAAATTCGCAGAATTCCAATACAATTCAAAATAATCTAAAAAATCCGAATGTTCCAAAAATTCCAAATAAATTCAAAACTATCCAAAAAATTCCAAAAATTCCAAAAATATCCAAAAAATTCCAAAAATTAAAAAAATATCCGAAAAATCAATAATACCCAGGAAATCCAAGAAATCCAAAAAAAAAATGCAAAAAATAAAATTCCAATACAATCCAAAAAGAATCTAACAAACCGAAAAAAAAACCATAAATTCCAAAAAAATAAAAAAATCGAAAAATCCGAAGTAAATCCAAAAAAAATCAATAAAATTCCAAAATAATCCAAAAAAATCGATAAAAGCCAGGAAAGACCAATTAATCCAAAAAATCCACAGATTCTAAAAAAGATCAAAAATCCAGAAAATCCATCAATGTCAAAAATTGCAAAAAACCTAAAAGTTCCAAACAACCCAATGCAATCCAGAAAAAAAAAACAAAAAAATTGAAAAAATCTAATAATCCTAAAAATTCCAAATAATCCAAAAAATAACAAAAACTAAAGAATTAAAAAAAATGCAAAAAAATTCAAAAAATCTGACAAAAAATTTAAAAAAATCATAAAAATCCATAAATACCAGAAATCCCAAGAGTTCCGATATTATCCAAAATAATCTAAAAGACCAAAATGTTCCAAAAATTCCAAATAAATCCAAAACATCAATAATATCCAGGAAATCCAAAGAATCCAAAAAAAGCAAAAGAGGCAAAAAAATACAACAATTCCAATACAACCCAAAAAGAAACTAACAAACCGAAAAAAGCCAAAACTTACAAATAAATAAAAAAAAAACATAAAAATCCATAAATCCCAAAAATATTAAAAAATTCCAAAAATCCGAAGTAAGTCCAGAAAATCCAAAAGTATCCAAAAAAAATCAAAAAAATTCCAAAACAATCCAAAAAAATCGATAAAAGAGAGGAAAGTCTACATAATCTAAAAAATCCATAAAATCAACAGATTCTAAAAAAAATCAAAAATTCAAGCAAATCCATCAATTCCAAAAATTGCAAAAATCCAAAAGTTCCAAAAAACCCAATGCACTCCAAAAAAAAATTGAAAAATTCTAAAAATTACAAAAATTTCAAATAATCCCAAAAATTTGGCAGAAAAAATAAAAAATCCAAAAAAAAAAAATTCATAAATTCCAGAAATTAAAAAAAAACACAAATTCCCAGAATTCCAAAAATTTCAAAAATAAAAAAAGTATCTAAAAAATCAATAATACCCAGGAAACCCAAGGAATCCAAAAAAAAAACAAAAAAAAAAGGCAAAAATACAATTCCAATACAACCCAGAAAGAATCTAAAAAATCGAAAAAAACCCATAAATTCCAAAAAAATAAAAAAAATCGAAAAATCCGAAGTAAATCCAAAAAAAATCGATAAAATTCCAAAATAATCCAAAAAAATCGACAAAAGCCAGGAAAGACCAAATAATCCAAAAAATCCACAGATTCTAAAAAAATAAAAAATCCAAGAAAATCTATAAATGCCAAAAATTGCAAAAAACCCAAAAGTTCCAAACAACCCAATGCAAAATTCCAAAAATTCCAAATAATCCAAAAAGTAACCAAAACTAAAGAATTAAAAAAAAGTGCAAAAAAAATCCCAAAAAATTTGACAAAAAATAAAAAACATAAAAATCCATAAATCCCAAAAATATAAAAAAAATCCAAAAATCCGAAGTAAGTCCAGAAAATCCGAAAGTATCCAAAAAAAAAAAAAAAATCAATAAAATTCCAAAAAATCCAAAAAAATCGATAAAAGAGAGGAAAGTCTACATAATCCAAGAAATCCATAAAATCAACAGATTCTAAAAAAAATCAAAAATTCAAGAAAATCCATCAATTCCAAAAATTGCAGAAAACCCAAAAGTTCCAAAAAACCCAATACAATCCAAAAAAAACTGAAAAAATCTAAAAATTACAAACATTTCAAATAATCCAAAAAATCCACAAAAAATAAGAAATACAAAACATTTGGCAGAAAAAATAAAAAATCCAAAAAAAAAATAAAAATCCATAAATTCCAGAATTTAAAAAAAAACACAAATTCCCAGAATTTCAATACAATCCAAAAAGAATCTGACAAACCGAAAAAAAGCAAAAACTGACAAATCCAAAAAAACAAGATAATCCATAAATTCAACAAAAATTGAAAAATTCCAAAAAAATTCAAAAAATCCACAAAAACCAAAGAATCCAAAAGCATTCAAATAAACGTGCGAAATCTAAAAAAATCCAATCCATAAATTCCAAAATTTGCAAAATATTCCAATAATACAACTCAAAAATCCATGAATCCCAAAAATATCAAAAAATTCCACTAATCCGAAGTAAATCCAAAAAATCCAAAAGTATCCAAAAAATCAATAAAATTTCAAAAAAATCCAAAAAAATCGATAAAAGGGAGGAAAGACTACATAATCCAAAAAATCCATAAAATCAACAGATTCCAAAAAAAAAAATTCAAGAAAATCCATCAATTCCAAAAATTGTAAAAATCCAAAAGTTCCAAAAAATCCAATGCAATCCATCTAGAATAAACAAAAAAAAATTGAAAAATTCTAAAAATTACAAAAATTTCAAATAATCCAAAAAATCCATAAAAAATAAAGAATCCAGAAAATTTATCAGAAAAAATAAAAAGCCCAAAAAAATTCATAAAAATCCATAAATTCCAGAAATTCCAGAACAAACACAAATTCCCAGAATTGCAATACAATCCAAAATAATCTAAAAAATCCAAATGCTCCAAAATTTCCAAATAAATCCAAAACTATCCAAAAAATTCCAAAAATATCCAGGAAATCCAAGGAATAAAAAAAACAAAAAAATGCAAAAAATACAATTCCAATACAATCCAAAAGGAATAAAAAAAATCGAAAAAAAAACCAAAAATTCCAAATAAATCTCAAATAAAACTAAAAAAATCCATAAATTCCTCATATTCCAAAAAAATTCAAGTTTCAAAGAGTCTAGACATTCCAAAAATCTCGAAAAATTTACAAAACAAAAGTATCCAAAAAATTCCCAATATAATCAAAAAAAAAAAATCCAATGCATAAATTCTAAAAATTCCAAAATATTCCAAACATTCCAATAATACAATATATAAATTCCAAAACTCCGAAGTAAATCCAGAAAATCCAAAAATATCAAAAAAAAATGCATACATTAAAAAAAAAATGAATAAAAGCCGGGAAAGTCCAAATAATCCAAAAAAGAAAAAAAAAACCCAAAAAAATCCATAAACTCCAAAAATCGCAGAATATCCAAAAGTTCCAAAAATCTAGTGCTATTCAGAAAAATAAAAAAAATCGAAAAAAATCTAAAAATTCCAAAAATTCCACAAAGTATAAAAAATCCAAAATTATCCAAATAAATCCCAAAAATATACAAAAACCAAAGTATAACAAAAATATAAATAAATACAAAAAAAATCAAGAATTCCAATTATAATAATACGTTGTGACGTTGTGAGTTATTTAAATAATAAAAATTGAGCTGATACATGTTTACAGTAGCATAGTTTCGTTTTCTTAATATATGTATAAGATAAAACACAGTGTCTTCTTAACAATACTCCAATATACCTTCTTGTAGAACATATTGTGTCAACTTTTAGGTTATTTACCACCCTCGTTCCCGCCATTGAAACTTTCCATTTCCTGGCAGTTCTCTTCGCACCCTCGCAAATCCACCCCTAAAAATTCAAATCAACACCACAACCCCTAATACTTCTTCATATTTACCCTACCATCTTTACTCGTCACGCAACTTTTGCACTTCTTCTTCCAACCCTTACACTTCTTCTTGCACCATATCTCGATGTACACCATCATGAAACCCATAACGATCACGCTGCAAACTATAAGTGCTCTAGAAATTTCATGGCTACCATTAGTACCATTGGTAGAAAGTATATCATTGTGATTTACTTCACGTAAGCTGTGGTGGCGTTGTTGATAGCGCTGTCGCAGCAGCCTGTAGCACAGCACTTCTGGTACTTGGAGGCACAGGTGACGTAGTGGAAATTCCATTGTTCGCGGACCAGACATTTCTTTTTGCGTTTACGGGATTGGAAGAAGCGCAGGGCCTGTAAAGAGTGTAAAGTGAGGTTAGGTGTGGGTTTGTTTGTCACGGATTCGTGCGACCTCATTTTTTTTACTGGATTAAAAAATGGTAAAAAAAGCTCACCGTGGTTGTCGATATGTTTAGTACTATGAACAATATTAGGGTGAGTTTTTTGACGAACGTCATACTGGGTTTGACGACATATTAATACGCAAGTTGCTTTGTTAGTGGTTTCTTATCAGGAACCTTTGAGAGTTCAGATCAATTATCTGTTTGTTTGTACACATTTTTATGAATTATATGTCTGATTTGAGTGAAGTGGTACCAACTATTATTAGGTTGTTTGGAAAATTGGTACACATAGTTGAAGATAATGAAAAATCGGTAATCCACTTATGATGGTTTCCACGGAACTCCGATTGTTTCAAATTACTTCAAAAACTAGACGCATGGAGTCCTCGAGACTCTTTATAATCAGGTACCTCAAAAACAAGGTCCTCCAGGCTTTTTCAAACTACTTCAAAAACCAGACGCAAGTGGTCCCCGAGATTCAAAAAACCCAAAAAAGAAAAGATCAAAAAATTTTAAAAATCCAAAAAATCTGAAAAAATGAAAAACATCCAAAGAAATTTAAACCAATCCAAAGAAATCCAAGAAATCCAGCAAAACAAAAAAAGCTCAAAAATTCTAAAAATTAAAAAGCATCCGAAAAATTCAAGAAAATCGAACGATTCCATAAATTCAAAAATTCCAAAAAAATTAAAAACATCCAAAAATATCAACGAAATCCTAACAATCCAAAACAATCCAACAAAATACAAAAAATTAAAAGCAATACAAAAGTTCCAATAAAATCCAGGAAATCCAAAAAAAAAAACGACGAATCCAAAAAATCCATCAAATCCCATAACATTTGTGTCCAAAACTTTAAACTATTCCAGTTAAAATCCGAAAAAACCAAAAAAATCCAAACATATCAAAGAAATCCAAAACAATCGAACAAAATACAAAAAATTAAGAACAATACAAAAGTTCAAATAAAATCCAGACTTTCCAAAAAAAAAAAAACCAAAATGATCCAAAAAAAAACTAAAAAAGAAAACAAAAATTGCAATAAATCCAAACGAATCCAAAGAAATCCAAGAAATAAAATAAAAACAAAATTTTATTAAAAATTTCAACAAAACAAAACATCTAAAAATTCCAGTAAAATACAAGAAATAAAAAAAAACAAAAATCCAGAGCAATCTATAAAATTCAAAAATATGAGACAATCCAAAAAAATCCAATTAAAATCTGAAAACCCGAAAATTAAAAAAAAATGCAAGTTGCAAAGAGTCTAAACATTCCAAAAAAACTCAAAAAATCCAAAAGAATGCAAAAAATGTACGAAATCCAAAAAAATCCATAAATTCCAAAAATTTCAAAATATCTCGAAAATTCCACTAATACAATCCAAAAAATCCATTAATTCCAAAAAAATAAAAAAATTCTAAAAATCTTATGTAAATCCAAAAATTCCAAAAGTATAAAAAAAAATGATGAAAGTCATAAAGATGCTATCCAAAATAATCTAAAAAATCCAAATGTTACTATCCAAAAAAATTCATAAATTCCTAAAATTCCAAAAAAATTGGAAAATTCTAAAAAAATTCAAGTTTCAAAGGGTCTAAACATTCCAAAAAAATTAAAAAATCCACAAAAACCAAAGAATCCAAAAAAGATTTAAATATACAAATAAATGTGGGAAATCCAAAAGAATCCAAACCACAAATTCCAAAAATTGCAAAATATTTCAAAAATTCCAATAACACAATCCATTAATTCCAAAAAATCAATAAATTACAAAAATTCGAAGTAAATTCAAAAATCCAAAAGTATTAAAAAAAAAATCCAGAAGTTAAAAAAAATCCGAAAAAACGATAAAAGCCACAGATTCTAAAAAAAATATGCCTAAAATAATCCATCGATTCCAAACAATGCAAAAAATCCAGAAGTTCCCAAATGCAATCCAGAAAAATAAAAAAAAAATGAAAAATTGTAAAATGTCCAAATATACCAAAAAAGCCACAAAATCCAAAACAATACAAAAGAAATCCAAAAAATCTGTCAGAAGAAATAAAAAACCCATAAAAAAAACATAAATTCCAAGAATTCCAATACAATCCAAAATAATCTAAACAATCCAAATGTTCAAAAATTTCAAATAAATCCAAAATTTGCAAAAAAATACATAAAATCAATAATACCCAGGAAATCCAAAGAATAAAAAAAAACAAAAGAATGCAAAAAAGTGAAAAATCCATAAATTCTAAAAATTGCGAAAAATACAACAATTCCAATGCAGTCCAAAAATATTCGAAAAAATTGAAGAAAAGCCAAAAATTCCAAATAAACCCAAAAAATCAATAAATTCCTAAAATTCCAAAAAAATCGGAAAATTCCAAGAATTCCAACAATCCAAAAAAGTCCATCCATTCCAAAAAAATCCAAAAAATTCAAAACTTTTCAACTAAATCCCAAAAATATACAAAATCCAAAAAAATCCAAAATATACAAAAACCAAAGTATCCAAAAAAAAATCTAAATATATATTCAAAAAAATTCAAAACCAAAAAAATCCAGAGGTTCCAAAAAAGTAAAAAAATCTCAAAAATCTCACGTAAATCCAAAAAATCCAGCAGTATCCAGAAAAATCGAAAAATTCCAAAAAAATTCCAAAAAAATCAATAAAATCCAGGAAAATTCAAATAATCCAAAGAATCCAAAAATATTAGAAAAAAAAAATTTAAAAATTAAAAAATTCAAAAAAAACTAAATTCCAAAAATTCCAAAAAGATCCGAAAGTTCAAAAAAACCCAATGCAATCCAGAAAAATTTAAAAAATCCAAGTGAATTAAAAAAACTCAAAACTATCCAAATAAATTTAAAAGTTCGAAAATAAAGTCCAAAAATCCATAAAATCCAAAGAATTCAAAAATTCCAAATATTCAAAAAACCCCAAAAATCTAAAATCTTCAAAAAAACCAAAAATTCAAAAGCTCCCAAAAATCTAAAAATTCAAAAAACTAGCAAAAATCTAAAAATTCAAAATTAATTCCAATCACCTGAAGGCTTTAAAAAAATCCAGAAAATTCGAGGAATCTAAAAAAATAAATAAAAAAAATCCAGAAACCTCCAAAAACTTCAAAAAATTCCAATAAAAATCCGAGAAATCCAAAAAAATCCAAAAAAAAAAAATAAAAACATCCAAAAATATGAAAGAAATCCAAAACAATCCAACAAAATACAAAAAATTAAAAACAATACAAAAGTTTAAATAAAATCGCAAAAAATTGAGTCCAAAAATTAAAAAAAACCCACAATAATCCAAATGAATAAAAAAACAAAAACAAAAAAGACAAAAACAAAAAAAAACATAAATCCCAATAATTCCAAATGAATCCAAAGAAATCCAAAGAAATTCAAAAAATAAAAACAAAAAATATTTACAAATTAACAAAAAAACCACAAATTCTAAAAATTCCAGTAAAACCCAAGAAATAAAAAAAAAACAAAAAATTCAAAGCAATCTATAGAATCAAAGAAATCTAAAAAAATCCGAAAAATAAAAAAAATCAAGTTTCAAAGAGTCTAAACATTCCAAAAAAACTTAAAAAATACAAAAATGTACGAAATCCAAAAAAATCTTTAAATTCCAAAAATTGCAAAATATTCCCAAAAACCACTAATACAATCCAAAAAACTCAAATTCCAAAAATATATAAAAAATTCAAAAAATTTGAAGCAAATCCAAAAAATCCAAAACTATCCAAAAAAATCCAAAAATTCCAAAAAAACCCAAAAAGTCAATAATGCTCAGGACATCTAAAGGATAAAAAAAAATGTAAAAAAACAACAATTCCAATACAATCTAAAAAGAATCTAAAAAATTGAAAAAGCCTAAAAATCCATAAATTCTTAAAATTCCAAAAAAAATGGAAACTTCAAAAAAATTCAAATTTCAAAGGGTTTAAACATTCCAAAAAAATCTACAAAAACCAAAGAATAAAAAAAAATATTAAAAAAAAAAATACAAATAAATATGCGAAATCCAACAAAATCCAATTCATAAATTCCAAAAATTGCAAAATATTCCAAAATTTCCAATAATGCAATCCATTAATTACAAAAAAAATCAAAAAAATTACAAAAATTCGAAATAAAACCAAAAAAAACAAAAGTATCCAAAAGAAATCTAGAAATTCCAAAAAAAACAATAAAACGATACAAGCCAGGTAAGTCCAAATAATTCAACAAATCCAAAAAACCCAAAAAAATCATTAAAAAAAAAGAAAAACTGTTGGACAGTATTCTGTTGGACAATAAATTCCAAGAATTCCAAAACAATCCAAAATATTCTAAAAAATCCAAATGTTCAAAAATTCCAAAATTATGCAAAAAAAATTCGAAAATCCAAAATAATCCATAAATTCTAAAATTTGCAAAATAAAACAACAATTCCAATGCAGTCCAAAAATAATCGAAAAAATTGAAAAAAAAGCCAAAAATTCCAAATAAACCCAAAAAAACCCATAAATTTCTAAAATTCCAAGAATTCCAACACAATCCAAAATAGTTCATCCATTCCAAAAAAATACAAATATTCCAAGTAAATCCAAAAAATCCGAAACTTTCAAAATAAATCCCAAAATTATACAAAATCCAAAAAAAAAGTATCCAGATAAATCCCAAAAATATACAAAAACCAAAGTATCCAAAAAAATCTAAGTAAAAAAAAATCACAAATTCCAAAAACTTCAAAAATTCCAAGAATTCCAATAAAATCCGAAAAATCCAAATATTCCAAAAATTCCAAATAAGTCCAAAAAATTCCAAAACTATTCAAATAAAATAAATAAAATAATAAAGTTGCCAATGCAATCCAGAAAAAAATTGAAAAAATCTAAAAAAAATATCGAATTCAAAAAATTAACAAAACTAAAGAATCCAAAAAATAAAAAAAATGCGAAAAAATTTCAAAAATCTCACAAAAAATATAAAAAAAATCATAAAAATCCATAAATACCAGAAATTCCAAAAATAAAACATAAATTCCAAGAATGCCGATACTATTCAAAACAAATTTAAAAAATTGGTCTAAAGAGTTTAGACAGTACTTCCCTCGCTGTCGGAAACGTGGCGACTGCATGTCTATTATGTTTCTTTTTTCGCAGTAGATTTCATTTTTTTTTTGAGTCACCCAGTATATGCAAATTCAAAAAATATGAATGGAATGATAAATTACAAGTACAGACTCATCATATTTTGTATACTCTAGATAGGATTTATTCGGCAAATTTTCGAGCTGACGTCATCAAGTTTTTGGAGGGGATAAGCAAATATATTTTGACTAAACATTTATTATGCTCTTTATAACCTTAAAACATCTGCAAGATGTCAGAGCATTCCGTTTTGTAGTTCCTGATTAAATCAATAAAATATATTTACGCATTCATTAATTTTTTTGAGTCACTCTGTATATGCAAATCCAAAAAATATGAATGGAGTGATAAATGACAAGTACAGGCTCATCATATTTTGTACATTTTAGATATGATTTATTCGGCAAACTTTCGAGCTGACGTCATCAAGTTTTTGGAGGGGATAAGCAAATATATTTTGACTAAACATTTATTATGCTCTTTATGACCTTAAAACATCTGCAAGATTTCAGAGCATTCGGTTTTGTAGTTCCTGATTAAATCAATAAAATATATTTACGCATTCATTAATTTTTTTGAGTCACCCTGTATATGCAAATCCAAAAAATATGAATGGAGTGATAGATCACAAGTACAGACTCATCATATTTTGTACATTTTAGATATGATTTATTCCACAAACTTTTGAGCTGACGTCATCAAGTTTTTGGAGGGGATAAGCAAATATTTTTTGACTAAAGATTTATGATGCTCTTTATAGCCTTAAAACATCTGCAACATTTCGAAGCATTCTGGTTAGCAGATTAAAAATTAAATTTCAAAATGTTGTTTTATAATTTTGATTTTTTTTCCAAAAATCTGGACGTTTCGGGTGAAAAGTCGATTCAGAGTTGTAAACTACATGTGCAGGACTATGTTATTTTATACAATTGAAAACCCATTTACTATGTACAATTTTGAAGTGACGTCATCGCTTTAGTGGTGGGGATGATTAGACAAATTTTGGTTAGCGTTTTACCATCTACATGATATTCTTAATATAAGTACAAAATTTCACAACAATCGGTCGAGTACTTTCGGAGATTATCTGTCTAATAAAAATCCGGGACAACAGACGGACAGACGGACGGACAGACGGACGGACAGACGGACGGACAGACGGACGGACAGACGGACGGACAGACGGACGGACAGACGGACGGACAGACGGACGGACAGACGGACGGACAGACGGACGGACAGACAGACGGAAATGGGAGACCTATTTCTTCGTCTTCTAGGGGTCATGAAAGATCGAGAAAACGTAAAAGTAGAGAGTCGGCCGACGGACTCGATTACAATACTTCCTTTGCTTACGCTCGGGAAGTAAAAACTCAAAAAATCCACAAAAACCAAAGAATAAAAAAAATTGTTAAAAAAAATACAAATAAATATGTGAAATCCAAATCCGTTAATTCCAAAAAAATAAAAAAATTACAAAAAATTGAAGTAAATTCAAAAAATCCAAAAGGATAAAAAAAATCGAGAAATTCCAAAAAAAATCCAAGAACACGAAAAAAGCCAGGTAAGTCCAAATAATCCAAAAAATCCATAAAATCCACAGATCATGAAAAAATTCAAAAATCCAAGAATATCCAAAAAAAATCCATAGATTCCACAAATTGCAAAAAATTCAGAAGTTCCGAAATGCAATCCAGATAAATCCAAAAAAATTTGAAAAAAACCAAAAAGCCACAAAATCAAAAAAATGCAAAAGAAATCCAAAAAATCTGCCAAAAAAAATTAAAAAACCCAAAAAAAAAAACATAAATGCCAAGAATTCCAATACAATCCTAAATAATCTAAAAAATTCAAATGTTTAAAAATTTCAAATAAATGTAAAATTATGCAAAAAAATCCAAAAAATCAACAATACCCAGAAAATCCAAAGAATGAAAAAATATAAAGAATGCAAAAAAAATTAAAAAATCCAAAAAAATCCATAAATTCTGAAAATTGCAAAAAAATTCCAATGCAGTCCAAAAATATTCTAAAAATAAAAAAAAATCAAAAATTCCAAATAAACCCAAAAACTTCATAAATTCCTAAAATTCCAAAAAAAATCGGAAAATTCCAAGTAAATCCAAAAAATCCAAAACTTTCCAAACAAGTCCCAAAAATATACAAAAACCAAAGTATCCACAAAAAATCACAAATTGCAAAAAACCGAAAATTCCAAGAATTCCAATACAATCCAAATGTTCCAAAAATTCCAAAACAATCCAAAAATTAAAAAAAAATCCAAAACAATCCAAGTAAGTCCCAGAAATACACAAAAATCATAGTATCCAAAAAAAATCTAAATATATACAAAAAAATTCAAAACCAAAATAATCCATAAATTCCAGAAAAGTCAAATAATCCCAAAAATTCCACGTAAATCCGAAAAATCCAGCAGTATCCAGAAAAATTAAAAAATTAAAAAAAATATTCAAACAAATCAATAAAAGCCAAATTCCAAAAATTCCAAAAACATCCTAAACTTAAAAAACCCCAATGCAATCCAGAAAAATCTAAAAAATCCAAGTGAATTAAAAAAACTCAAAACTATCCAAATAAATCTAAAAATTCCCAAACGAAATCCAAAAAATCCATAAAATCCAAAGAATCTAAAAAAGCAAAAAAAATCCGTAAATAAATCTTTATTTATTTATATATTTAAAAACATGTAGAATATTAAAAAACAATGGCAAGTCGACCTACTATTTACAATTAACATTGTAAAACAACCATAATTTTAAACTTAAACCACAATGATTTATTTCATTCTATTTGTATTTTTACATTTACATATTGTTATTACTCATTATCAACCACAAAGCAATTCATTACAAAACGTAATAAAACAAAAACCAGGAAAATAATTTCAACTGGTGATAAGGTTGATAATATATTTTATGGTCTACTTTAAACAACCGTCGCAACTATTGCGCAACTCACAAAAACATAACTAACTATTGACAGCCACGCCAAAATGTACCTTGCAACCATCGTACTTCTTCTCCAGTCCAGAACTACCCTGTGTGGCAACGTATTAGGTGTGTTCACGTTTCCTTCAATCAGCCACCAACTCATCTACCAACCACTATGGAAAGAACTATCCTTGAAAGGTCACAACGTCACGGTACTAACACCCGACCCACTCAACCACCCCTCTTTAACAAACCTAACCGAACTCAGCATCCGCTTCACGTACGACTTCCTCAAACAAACCAAACTCCAAAACCTCATGTCAAAAGACTTCAACATCCTTCAAAGCGTGGATTCTGTGTACCGTTTCATGGACGCGATCGCGGAAGTCGTACTCAATAGTACCGTTTTCAAACAACTCATCGTCGATCAAACCAGACACTTTGATCTGATTTTAATAGACTGCTTCCATCCCTCCATGTACGCTCTAGCGGGAAGATTCAAAGCACCGATCATCGGAGTTGCACCCTGCGGGATGCTAGCAGCTTGGTACGACAGTACCGGAAACCCCACCCATCCGGTACTACATCCAGACATTTTGCTGAAGTTCCACGACAGAGAGTTGTCGCTGTGGCAAAAAACCAAGAGTGTGGTGTTCGGGTTGTGGACCAGGTACTACTACCATGGTGTTCTAGTACCACGAGTGCATGATATAGTGGCCAAACATCTTGGAAATTTAGGATACTTAACCAATTTTGAGAAAAATCAAAGCATGCGTTTGCTTAATTTGAACCCAGCGGTGTATCCACCGAGGGCGAATGTACCAGCTGTGGTAGAAACGGCACTGGGGCACATTCAACCCGTGAAACCACTACCTGAAGTAAGTACCACCAAAGTGAGGTTGTAACCCACAGTCTGAATTGTCCAGGATTTGCAAAAGGTACTAGACGGTGCTACTGAAGGTGTGGTTTACGTTAGTTTAGGGTCAAATATCAGAAGCGTGGATTTAGATGCTAGACTAAGAAAGGTTATAGTAGAAGCGTTGTCTGAGTTACCGTACAAGGTTCTGTGGAAATGGGAGTCCGATTGTTTGTTGGATAGACCCAAGAATGTGGTAACCAGGAAGTGGTACCCTCAACAAGACATTCTTGGTTTGGGTTTATGGTTGTTTTGTAATGGTTTAACAGAGGGTTTGTAGCACATCGAAATGTTCGTGTTTTTGTTACCCAAGGGGGTCTTCAGTCCACTGGGGAAGCTATTTCTAGAGGGGTACCACTGATTGGGATGCCATTCATGTCTGACCAACCCATGAATGTGCAAAAAATCGTGAAGATGGGGATTGGACTGGGGGTTGATCCAGTTAGTGTGAGCAAGGAGGAACTGAAGGGGTGTATAATTGAAGTGGTGGAGAATCAAGGGTGGGTTTAAATTTAAGTACTGTGTTTTTAGTTGTTTTTTTTATAGCTACAAAAGACGAATTCAGGAAGTTCGTAATCTTTGGTACGACGTTCCAATGACTGGGTTGGATAGAGCAGTCTGGTGGTCTGAGTACGTTATTAAACATAAAGGGGCAAAACATTTAAGGAGTCCTGCAGCTGATATTTCTTGGTGTGATTATTTTCTAGTAGACGTTGTTTTAACAACGGTACTTGTAATAAGTGGTACTATCTATTTGGTTCACAAAGTAATCCAACTGCCATTTATAACCTGTTATCTGTAATTTATGTGTGGCCATGTTTTTTTGTAATTTATATATATATACTTGTTATTTTGAACACTCCATGTGATTTTAGTTTCGACAGTGGTGATCGAACAAGAAATGTACCTTATACCTGTAGTACTTTTTTTACATTATACGCCTACCCTGTGCAGCAATATATTAGGAGTATTTATCGTTCCTTCAATTAGCCATCAAAGCGTTTTCCAACCAATATGGAAAGAATTGTCCTTGCGAGGTCACAACGTCACTGTAGTAACCCCAGACCCTTTAAACGACCCATCTCTAACAAACCTAACCGAAATTAGTGTCCGTTTCACCTACGATTTTCTCAAACGAAAAGCAATGCAAGAAATTATCTCAAAAGACTCCAACATTTTTCATAGTATGTATGCTGCTGCTTGTTTCGTGGATGGTGTAGTTGAAGCCGAACTTAACAGTACTGGATTCAAAGAACTACTAGATGATGAGTCCAACCATTTTGATTTGATTTTAGTGGAAAGTTTTCACCCCGGTATGTATGCTTTAGCGGGAAGGTTCAAGGCACCTATTATCGGAGTGTCCGCCCTTGGAGCAGTGGAAGTGCAGCACCACCTCATTGGTAACCCCACACACCCAGTACTGTACCCAGATGTTCTGTTCGGATTGTACAATATCGAGCTATTAGTGTGGAACAAAATTAAAAGTACGCTGTGGTATTTGTGGACACAGTACCACCACCATGCTATTTTCGTACCACGAGTGCACAATATTGTAAAGAAGTACTTTGGTGAAGATTTGGAGTACTTAGGGGATCTTGAGAAGGATCAAAGCATGCTTTTTCTTAATGTTAACCCTGTGTTGTACCCGATTAGGCCTAATGTACCAAGTATAGTCGAAATGGGGCAGATACACGTTAAACCGGTGAAACCGCTTCCTGAGGATTTGCAACAAATACTAGACGATGGTACCGAAGGTGTGGTCTATTTTAGTTTGGGATCGAACGTCAAAAGTGTAAGTTTAGATGAAAAACTGAGGAATACTATAAAAGAAGCCTTATCTGAACTACCTTACAAAGTTCTGTGGAAATGGGAGTCCGACTATTTACCTGGAAGACCAAAGAACGTGGTCACAAGAGACTGGTTTCCCCAACAAGACCTCCTTGGTTAGTACTAACCTTAATTTTCTTAATTTGATGATTGCTTGGTAGCACATCGAAATATTCGTGCTTTCGTTACGCAAGGTGGTCTTCAATCCGTTGAAGAAGCCATCTCTAGAGGGGTACCACTCATTGGGATGCCTTTCCTTGGCGATCAACCATCGAATGTCCAAAAAATCATGGAAATGGGGATCGGACTGGGTGTTGATCCAAGTACTGTAACCAAGGAAGAACTCAAAAATTCTATAATTGATGTTGTGGAAAACAACAAGTGAGAAATAAAATTTGTTTTAAACAACTATGGGTAAATTATTTTTTTAGATACAGCAAACGAATCCGGGAAATTCGTCACCTGTTGTACGACAAGCCAATGACTGGGCTGGAAAAGGCTGTCTGGTGGTCTGAGTACGTTCTCAGACACAAAGGGGCCACACATATGCGGAGTCCGGCTGCTGATTGTTCCTGGTTTGAATATTTAATACTGGAAGTGGTCTTAGTATCAGCTGCACTGATTAGTATTGTTATTTATCTCTCCTACAAAGTGTTCCAACTGTTAATGTCAAAATGTCGCAAATAAATCAATTCTGATTTAGTCTAGTGTCCTCTAAATGTTTAAAAATAAGTAAGTACCAAGACAACTATTATTTTAAGGTTAGCTTTGATAAATAGCCATAAACAACTTGATAAGTAAGTATACAACATTGCCTTCATTATTGCTTAGTCAGTACTGATCGACAATAACAAGAAAATGCACCCTATACTTGTGGTACTCCTTTTACTTTCCACACCTATCTTGTGCAGCAATATTTTAGGAGTGTTCATTTTTCCCTCAATTAGTCACCAAATCGTTTTCCAACCGATATGGAAAGAACTATCGTTGAGAGGTCACAACGTCACGGTAGTAACCCCAGACCCCATAAACGACCCCTCTTTAACAAACCTAACCGAAATCAGTATTGGTTTCACCTACGATCTCTTGAAACGAATAACAATCCAAAATCTTATATCAAAAGATTCCAACGTTTTTCTAAGTTTGCATGATTCGACCCGTTACATTGATCGGCTCGTGGAAGCCGAACTCAACAGTACTGGGTTCAAACAATTAATAGATGATCAGTCCAAACATTTTGATTTGATTTTAATAGAATGTTTCCATCCAATTATGTACGCTTTAGCTGGAAGGTTCAACGCACCTGTCATTGGAATGTCCGCACTGGGATTAATGGAGGTCTACTATACCGTCATTGGTAACCCCACACACCCAGTACTGTACCCGGACGTTCTATGGGGGTTCTCTAACACCGAGTTATCAATGTGGAACAAAGTTAAAAGTGTCTTGTGGAGTTTGTGGTCACGGTACTACGACGATATTGCAGTACCACGAGCGCATAACATTGCAAAGAAGTATTTTGGGGAAGGTTTGTCGTATCTAGGGGATCTCCGGAAAGGTCAGAGCATGGTTTTTCTTAATGTAAACCCTGTGTTGTACCCGTTGAGACCTAATGTACCCGCTCTTGTCGAAATGGGGCAGATGCACATTAAACCGGTGGAAGCACTTCCGGAAGTAGGTATCACTAACACCACATAATCACGTAATTGTTTGAAATGTACCCGCAGGATTTGCAACAAATACTAGACAATGCTACCGAAGGCGTGATCTACTTTAGTTTAGGGTCGAACGTTCAAAGCGTAAATTTAAATGAAACACTGAGGAACATCATAGTGGAAGCTTTATCTGAACTACCGTACAAAGTTTTGTGGAAATGGGAGTCCGATTACTTGCCTGGAAGACCAAAGAATGTGGTCACAAGAAAGTGGTTTCCGCAACAAGATCTTCTTGGTCTGTCGTTACTTACTGATTTTTTTATTTTAATAAATGGTTGTAGCACATCAAAATATTCGTGCCTTTTTTACACAAGGGGGTCTTCAATCTATTGAAGAAGCAGTCTCTAGAGGGGTACCACTCATTGGGATGCCTTTCATGGGTGATCAGCCGCCAAATGTGCAAAAAATCGTGGATGCAGGGATCGGACTAGGGGTTGATCCAGTTAGTGTGACTAAGGAGGAACTAAAACAATGTATAATTGAGGTTGCCGAAAACAACAAGTACCATCGAAGGATTCACGAAATTCGTGACATTTTGTACGACAAGCCAATGACTGGGCTGGAAAAGGCTGTCTGGTGGTCTGAGTACGTTCTTAGACATAAGGGGGCAAAACACTTGAGGAGTCCGGCAGCTGATTTTTCTTGGTTTGACTATTTATTAGTGGAAGTTGTCTTAGTTGCAGCTGTAATGAGTGGTATGATTATCTATCTCTGGTACAAAGTAATCCAAATGTTAATTATTTATTGGTATAAATAAAACACAAACAAACTCGGTTAAATAATTTGGAGCGTTAAAAATTTTTTTTTAGGTTGTGGAACATTCCCGTGGGTACCAAGTGACTTTTTTTTAATGTAAAATCTGCTCGGGGGCCTCAAAATGTCAATTTTTTAATGTGAAACCTTCTCGGGGGCGCCAAATGGTTTTTTAAGATTTCAAACCTTCTCGGGTGTTCCAACTGTCTCTTTTAAAAATGTAAAACTATAGCCCCTAGAAATACATAGTACCGTCATCCATTGTTGTACGAGTGGAGCAAATGCAGTTGGTAACGCAAAAAATTCCCTTGGTTTGGAACCAAATTGTGCCAGCAGAGAGTTGACAGCGCGTAAACCGTTGTTGTCACGTGGTCTTAGCGTGGTCTTTTTGTTTAAAGTCAATTAATTGTCAATTAATATAACTAATAATTATTAAATAAGATTTTTTTGATTAAATTTTAAATTTTATTCAAATTTTGTAATTTGTATATAAACTACAAACTTTAAATCCAACAAAAAACCATTTTAAATTTCGCGCTCTGTCAAATGGTGTTAATAATTTTTATTTTTGTTAAGTTTCCGCCAGGTTAGTTCCACGGTGACGATACTATGTGTTTTCCAGGGGCTATATGTAAAACTACTGTAAAACTTTCTCGGGGGCGATACATGTCTTTCTTTTAAGAATGTGAAACCTTCTCGGGGGTACCAACTGTCTTTTTTAAAATATGAAACCTTCTTGGGAACCTCAAGTGCCTATTTTTTAATGTGAAATCTTCTCGGGGGAATCAATTGTCTTTCTTTAAAAATGTAAAACCTTCTCGTGAGCACCAAATGTCCATTTTTTAATTTGAAACCTTCTCGGGGGTTCCAACTGTCTCTTTTAACAATGTAAAACCTTCTCGGGGGCACCACATGTCTTTCGTTTAAGAATGTGAAACCTTCTCAGGATCCCCAAATGTCTTTTTTTAAGTTGAAAACTTTCGGGGGTCCCAACTGTCTTTTTTTTAATATAAAACTTTCTCGGGAGCCCCAAACGTCAATTTTTTAATGTGAAACCTTTTCGGGGGCCCCAAATGTATTTTTTTTTAATGTGAAACCATCTCGGGGGTCCCAACTGCCTTTTTTTAAAAATGTAAAACCTTCTCGGGGGCCTCAAATATTGCTTTTGTGTGAAAACTTCTCGAGGGTTCCAACTATATTCTTTTAAGAATGTGCAACCTTCTCGGGGGACCCAAATATCTTTTTTTAATGTGAGATCTTGTCAAGGGTTCCAACTGTTTTTTTAAGAATGTGATACCTTCTCGTGGGTCCCAACTGTCTTTTTTATAAATATAAAGTCTTCTCGGGGCTCCCAACTGTCTTTTTTAAAAATGTAAAACCTTCTCGGGGGCCCCAAATATCTTTTTTTTAATGTGAAACCTTCTCGGGGGCCCCAAATGTATTTTTTTAATGTGAAACCTTCTCGGGGGTCCCAACTGTCTTTTTTAAAAATGTAAAACCTTCTCGTGGGCGTCAAATAACTTTTTTTAAGAATGTGAAAACTTCTCGGGGGTATCAACTGTCCTTTTTTAAAAAAGGTGAAACCTTCTCAGGAGTCCCTAGTGTATTTTTTTAAGAATATTATATCTTCTCGGGGCTTCCAGCTGTGTTTTTAAAAAATGTGAAACCTCCTCGGGGGCGCCATATATCTTTTTTTTTTAATGTAAAACCTTCTCGGGGGCCCCAAATATCTTTTTTTAATCTGAAACCTTGTCAAGGGTTCCAACTGTCTTTTTTTAAATATGAAACCTTCTTGGGAACCCCAAGTGTCTATTTTTTAATGTGAAACCTTCTCGGGGGAATCAATTGTCTTTCTTTAAAAATGTAAAACCTTCTCGAGAGCCCCAAATGTCCTTTTTTTAATTTGAAAATTTCTCGGGGGTCCCAAATGTCGCTTTTAAAAATGTGAAACCTTCTCGGGGGTCCCAACTGGCTTTTTTAAAAATGTAAAACCTTTTCAGGGTCCCAAATGTCTTTTTTTAAGTTAAAACCTTTCGGGGGTCCCAACTGTCCTTTTTTAATGTAAAACTTTCTCGGGAGACCCAAACGTCAATTTTTTAATGTGAAACCTTCTCGGGAACCACAAATGTTTTTTTTTAATTTGAACCCTTCTCGGGGGTCCCAACTGTCTTTTCTAACATTGTAAAACCTTCTCTAGAGCCCCAAATGTCCTTTTTTTTAATGTGAAACCTTCTCGGGGGTCCCAACTGTCTCTTTTAAAAATGTAAAACCTTCTCGGGTGCCCCAAATGCCCAAATGTCATTTTTTTAAGTTGAAACCTTCTCGAAGTTTCCAATTGTTTTTTTTTAATTATAAAACCTTCTCGGGAACCCTAAGTGTATATTTCTTAATGTGTAACCTTCTCGGGGTCAAAATTGCCTTTTCTCGGGAACCTCATATGTTTTTTTTAGGTTGAACCATTCTCAGGGGTTCTAATTGTCGTTTTTAACATTGTAAAACCTTCTCGGGGGGCCCAACTAGATTTTTAAAAAATGTAAAACCTTCTCGGGAGCCCTAAACGTCCATTTTTTAAAGTGAAACCTTCTCGGGGGCGCCAAATGGTTTTTTAAGATGTGAAACCGTCTCGGGGGTCCCAATTGTTTTTTTTTTAAGTTGAAACCTTCTCAGGGGTCCCAATTGTCCTTTTTTTAAATATAAAACCTTCCCAGGAACCCCAAGTGTATATTTTTTAATGTGAAACCTTCTTGGGGTTCCAATGGTCTTTTTTTAAAAATGTAAAACCTTCTCGGAAACCCCAAATGTTTTTTTTTTAAGTTGAACACTTCTAGGGGGTACTCTATCTTTTACAACAATGTAAAATCTTCTCGGGAGCCCCAAATGTCTTTTTTTTAGTTTGAAACCTTCTCGGGGGTCCCAACTGTCTCTTTTTAAAACGTAAAACCTTCTCGGGGGCGCCACGTGTCTTTCTTTTATGGATGTGAAACCATCTCGGGGGCCCCAACTGGGTTTTTAAAAAATGTAAAACCTTCTCAGGAGCCCCAAATAACTTTTTGTAAGTTGAAAACTTTCGGGGGTGCCAACTGTCTTTTTTTTAATGTAAAACCTTCTCGGGAGCCCCAAACGTACATTTTTACTTCCCGACCGTAAGCAAAGGAAGTATTGTAATCGAGTCCGATTCTTGTGAAATTTTGTACTCATATTAGGAATATCATGTAGATGGTAAAACGCTAACCAAAATTTGTCTAATCATCCGTCACTTCAAAATTGTACATAGGAAATTGGCTTTAAATTGCATAAAATAACATAGTCCTATACATGCAGTTTACGACTCCGAATTGAGTTTTTACCCGAAACGTTCAGATTTTTGGGAAAAAAATCAAAATTATGAAACAACATTTTGCAATTTTGAATCTGCTAACCGGAATGCTTTGAAATGTTGCAGTTGTTTTAAGACTATAAAGGGCATAATAAATGTTTAGTCAAAATATATTTGCTTATCCCCTCCAAAAAATTGATGACGTCACCACAAAATTTTGCTGAATAAATCCTATCTAAAATGTACAAAATATAATGAGTCTCTTCTTGTGATTTATCATTCCATTCATATTATTTGAATTTGCATATACCGGGTGACCCAAAAAAAAATAATGATTGCGTTAATTTATTTTACTGATTTACTCAGGAACTACAAAACCAAATGCTTTGAAATCTTAAAGTCGTCACGTTTCCGACAGCGAGGGAAGTACTGTCTAAACTCCTTAGACCATTTTTTTAACATAAAACCTTCCCGGGGGTCCCAATTGTTTTCTTTAAAATGTAAACCCTTCTCGTGGCTATCATCTGTCCTTTTTTAAGGAAGGCGAAACCTTCAACAAAAACAACGTTTTACTTCAATCATATTGTAGTATTTTTCAGAGTTTCGTTAAATTTATGTATCATAAATTTTTTTAACTGCGTTTTTACGGCCTTGTACACTGGGCAACAACACACATGTTACCTTTGTTGTAGTTCCGTAACAAAATGTACCTCGTTACCTGTGTATTTCTTCTACATTGTACATCTATTCTGGGTAGTAATATATTAGGAGTGTTCATATTTCCCCCGATAAGCCATCAAAGTGTTTTCCAATCAATATGGAAAGAACTTTCCTTGAGAGGTCACAACGTGTGTGGTGTGGTAACACCTGATCCTTTAAACGATCCTTCTTTAATTAAGGTAATCTAACAGAAATCAGTATTCGTTTCACTTATGACCTCTTAAAACCCGCCGCATTACAAGAACTCTTATCAAAAGATTCCAACGTTTTTCAGAGGTTTGCTGCTACGGGCCGTTTCTCAGATAGTCTTGTAGAAGCCCAAATGAACAGTACTGGGTTCAAAGAACTAATAGCTAACAAACATACTTAATCATTTCAATTTGGTATTAGTGGAAAATGTTTATCCCGTTATGTACGCCTTAGCAGACAGATTCAACGCATCCATCATTGGAGTTTCGGCTCTAGGATTCGTAGCGGTTAGCGGTACCATTCTTGGTAATCCCGCACACCCAGTACTATACCCAGACTTGCTATGGGGCGTCTACAACATCGATGATGTTGTAATACCAAGAGTACATAACATCGCAAAAAAATACATTAGACAGAATTTACGGTACCTAGGAGATCTCGAGACGGGCCAAAACATGCTTTCTCTCAACGTAAATCCTGTGTTGTACCCGTTAAGGCCCACTGTACCCGCTATGGTTGAAATGGGACAAATGCACATCCAACCAATGAAACTGCTTCCTCAGGATTTGCAAGAAAAACTAGACGGTGCCACTGATGGTATGATCTACTTTAGTTTAGGGTCGACCATCTAAAGTGTAACTCTAGATAAAAAACTGAGAAATACTATAAGGGAAGCTTTATCTGAACTACCTTAAAAAGTTCTGTGGAAATGGGAGTCCGACTATTTACGTGGAAAACCAAAGAATGTGGTCACAAGAGACTGGTTTTCCCAACAAGACCTTCTTGGTTAGCACTAATCTTAATTTTCTTAATTTGATAATTTCTTTGTAGCACATCCAAATATTCGTGCCCTTTTCACACAGGGTGGTCTTCAATCCATTGAATAAGCAGTCTCTAGAGGGGTACCCCTCATTGGGATGTCAGTCCCTGGCGATCAACCATCGAATGTCCAAAAAATCATAGAAATAGGGATTGGACTGGGTCTTGATCCAAGTACTGTGACCAAGGAGGAACTCAAAAATTCTATAATTGATGTTGTCGAAAACAACAAGTGAGAATTAGGAATTTGTTTCAAACAACTTAGGGTAAATTATGCGACTATTGTTTTAGATACAGCACACGAATCCGGGAAATTCGTCACCTGTTGTACGACAAGCCATTGACTGGGCTGGAAAAGGCTGTCTGGTGGTCTGAGTACGTTCTCAGACATGAAGGGGCCACACATCTGCGAAGTCCGGCTGCTGATTTTTCCTGGTTTGAATATTTAATAGTGAAAGTGGTCTTAGGATCAGCTGCACTGATTAGTGTTGTTATTTATCTCTTGTACAAAGTGTTCCAACTAATAATGTTAAAATGCCGTAAATAAAATAAATCAATTCTGATTTATTCTAGTTTCGTCTAAATGTTTAAAAACAAATAAGCAACAAAGTAACCATTGTTTTAACGTTAGCTTTGAAACATGATCATAAATAACATGATAAATAGATATCGTTTTGTTAATTTATATTTTTACTTTTTTCAACACGGCCTTCGTTATAGCTTAGTCAGTGCTGATCGACAGTAACAAGAAAATGCACTCTATACCTGTGGTACTCCTTTTACTTTCTACACGTATTTTGTGCAGCAATATATTAGGAGTGTTCATTTTTCCCTCAATCAGCCACCAAATCGTTTTCCAACCAATATGGAAAGAACTATCCTTGAGAGGTCACAACGTCACTGTAGTAACCCCAGATCCCCTAAACGATCCCTCTTTAATTAATCTAACAGAAATCAGTATTCGTTTCACCTACGACCTCTTAAAACGAATCGCAATCCAAGATCTTATATCAAAAGACTCCAACGTTTTTCTAAGTTTGTATGTTTCGTCAACTTTCATAGACCGTCTCCAAGAAGCCGAACTCAACAATATTGGGTTCAAACAATTAATAAATGATCAGTCCAAACATTTTGACTTGATTTTAATAGAATCTTTCCATCCAATTATGTACGCTTTAGCTGCAAGATTCAACGCACCTGTCATTGGAGTGTCCGCACTGGGATTAATGGAGGTCAACTATAACATTATTGGTAACCCCATACACCCAGTACTGTACCCGGACGTTCTATGGGGGTTCTATAACACCGAGTTATCAATGTGGAACAAAGTTAAAAGTGTTTTGTGGAGTTTGTGGTCACGGTACCACGAGGAAATTGTGGTGCCAAGAGCGCATAAACTTGCAAAGAAGTATTTTGGGGAAGATTTGTCGTATTTAGGGGACCTTCGAAAAGGTCAAAGCATGGTTTTTCTTAATGTAAATCCTCTGCTGTACCCGTTGAGACCTAATGTACCCGCTCTAGTCGAAATGGGGCAGATGCACATTAAACCGGTGGAACCACTTCCTGAAGTAGGTACCACTAACACCATCTAATCACGTAATTGTTTGAAATGTACCCGCAGGATTTGCAACAAATACTAGACAATGCTACCGAAGGTGTGATCTACTTTAGTTTAGGGTCGAACGTTAAAAGCGTAAATTTAGATGAAACACTGAGGAACATCATAGTAGAAGCTTTATCTGAACTACCGTACAAAGTTTTGTGGAAATGGGAGTCCGATTATTTGCCTGGAAGACCAAAGAATGTGGTCACAAGAAAGTGGTTTCCGCAACAAGATCTCCTTGGTCTGTCTTTACTTACTGATTTTTTTATTTTAATAAATGGTTGTAGCACATCGAAATATTCGTGCCTTTTTTACACAAGGGGGTCTTCAATCTATTGAAGAAGCAGTCTCCAGAGGGGTACCACTCATTGGGATGCCTTTCATGGGTGATCAGCCGCCAAATGTGCAAAAAATCGTGGATGCAGGGATCGGACTAGGTGTTGATCCAGTTAGGGTGACCAAGGACGAACTAAAGCAATGTATAATTGAGGTTGCCGAAAACAACAAGTACCATCGAAGAGTTCACGAAATTCGTGACATTTTGTTCGACAAGCCAATGACTGGGCTGGAAAAGGTTGTCTGGTGGGCTGAGTACGTTCTTAGACATAAGGGGGCAAAACACTTGAGGAGTCCAGCAGCTGATTTTTCTTCGTTTGACTATTTATTAGTGGAAGTTGTCTTAGTTGCAGTTGTAATGAGTGGTACTATTATTTACCTCTGGTACAAAGTAATCCAACTGTTAATTATTTATTGGTATAAATAAAATACAAGCAAACTCGGTTAAAAGTAGTAGTAAGTGTTTATTTTTATACTACGAGCTTAAAAGATTCTTGATTTACAACACTACAATTGTTTTCCTAATTAACAAAAACCAAATAAAACATTTTAAAAACCAAATAACTAATTTTTTTCCTTTATCCTATCCCCACTTGCCCCAGCCTTACTCTTGTCCTCTCCACTTCTTTCATCCATTCCACCCCTCTTCCATCTTCATTCAATATCTCTGTCACACTCTCTTCTCTTTCTTTGCTCTCCTCACAGTCATGCACCATGTGCTCTATCGTCTCTCGCCCTTCTCCACACATCCTACACATTCTCTCACCGTCGCTTACCCAAAACTCATTATTTCTTTCTTCATTTCCACACCATATTTGCCCTACTCTCCATTTCCTGGGAAAACCTTTACACGTCCACACATCATTCATTAACTCATCCAATCTTACAATCATCCCACCCGTCCCAAATATCCACACTTCGTTTACCAACCCATCCCTCCCCGGTGTTTTCCCTCTTTTCAGTCTTCCTACTTGTTTTCCTACTTCCTCTACTCGAATCTCGGCCTTCCTTTCTCTACCACCATTCCCGGTTTTACTATCTTGTGTTACAACTCTCTCTTCCTTTCCATTCCACAGTTCCATAAAATACTTCTTCCACTGTATTATAGGTATGTCTTCACTAATCGTAATTTTGTTGTTCCGTTCTTTATTTATATAAAGTTCTTATGGCTTTAATTTTTCTTCTTCTTCTTGCTGTATCTCTTCTTTCTTTTCTTTGCATCATTTTCTATAATTATTTTTTGCTTGCCAGTACTCTTCTTTTGTACCTTTCCCCTTTTTCCACCTTCGTAAATATTTCCTTGCTTGTGTTTTTAAATCTCTGCATCTGCTATCCCATCATCTGTTTCTCTTTTCTAAATTTCTCGTTACAATTTCTTTTCTTATGGCTGCTTTTTCAATTTCTCTTTTTAATTCTTTTCAGTTCCTTTTTCTTTACATTCCACTTCCAACATTTTTTTTTTATAATGCTCAATTCCTTTTTCATTCCATACCCATATCTTCTTCTCTTTTCCTACTCCATTACTTAAGCATCCGATCCTTCTACTTATGCCCATCACTTTTACTTCTAGTGGCATGTATTACCGATTCTCTTCTTTTACCTATCCAGGTAAATTTCCCCTCCTCGTCCCCTTCCTTCACCCCATTCAAAACTTCCCAACCCCTTTTTTCAATTCATTCCCATAGCAATTTTCCGTCTTTGTTTTCTACTTTATCATTCGATTTTCGTGTGTTTTCCCCGTCGTCTTCCCTGCTTTTGTTCCCTATTCTGGCATTAAAGTCCCCTCCTAACAGTAGAAATTCTTCTTCGGACTCTTCAAATTTTTTTGTATTTCTTGTTTCGTATTTCTCATTCCTCTACTATATATTGTGCAGATTCTCCATCTTTTTTATTTACAGTCAGTTTTCTTTCAACTATGCCTTCCATTTCTATCGCCCGCTCTTCTATTTCTTTTATATCTGTCTTCACTCCTGTTATGATTCCACCTTTTGCTCTACCCTTGCGTTTTTCTTTTTTTGTCCCTTGTAATTTCCACTGAAATTCCTTTGGCAACACGTCTTTCAGTCACAAAATGAAAATTTTTCACGTAGTCCCAAAATAAATTATCTTTCTTTTTCAGACCTGCAATATTCCAAAAGAGTAATTTTAAACCACGTCTATCTTGCCTATTCTTCTTTCCCATTCCCCTATTATGTCCAAAATCTACATTTTTAAACCTAAAGTCTTTATTTGTCCGATCATTACTACCCCTCCCCATTGTGTTTCTTTCTTCGGTTAGTGCTGACTTGATTTGCGAAATTTTTCTTCATTTCCACACCATATTTGCCCTACTCTCCATTTCCTGGGAAAACCTTTACACGTCCACACATCATTCATTAACTCATCCAATCTTACAATCATCCCACCCGTCCCAAATATCCACACTTCGTTTACCAACCCATCCCTCCCCGGTGTTTTCCCTCTTTTCAGTCTTCCTACTTGTTTTCCTACTTCCTCTACTCGAATCTCGGCCTTCCTTTCTCTACCACCATTCCCCTATTATGTCCAAAATCTACATTTTTAAACCTAAAGTCTTTATTTGTCCGATCATTACTACCCCTCCCCATTGTGTTTCTTTCTTCGGTTAGTGCTGACTTGATTTGCGAAATTTTTCTTCCAATTTTCCTTTATTGTCATTCCATGTATACATTTTGTCCCCCACTTCCAGCTTCTTATATCCCACCCTTGTTGTGTATCATTTTTCTTTCCTCTTTATCTACCTCCCTAATTCCTTTTTGAATTTTTTGCTCTTGTAGTGTCCAATTATCAATATATATTTTCTTTCCTCTATATTCTTCATCACCTCTTGTTCTTCCTCCCAAAGCGTCTTAACCAGTATTTTCTTGCTTTCCTCTTTCCCTATAATTATTGTTTCCAACACTTTTACTTCTACCTCAATTTCTTTTTTCAAAAATTCCTCTACTTCTTCCGTAATTATGAAATTGTTTCGTCTTTCTTGGCTCTGTTTTTTTCCAACTTCTTCTCTAAATTATTTATTCTTTCTTCGAAACTTCTCTCATTTTCTTTCCATTCTTCTCTTTCTCTTTCCAGTATTCCATTTATTGTCTGTAATTCTTTTTTTACCCCTCTATTCTCTCCTCTCAGTTGTTTCATTTCTTCCATTAGTTGCTTCATCATTTCCATCAACGGATCTTGTCCTTGCTTTATTTGTTCTCTTTCTTCCATTTTCAATGCTGTCGCTTCCCTCACTATCAGCTCTTTCTCGCCACGCCGCAAAAACATCACCAATCTTATCACTCTCAATCGTTTTCTGATTCGACATAAGCTTGCTGTTTTTCTTGTCTCACCAGTTGCACCCCCCCTTTTTTTTACGAAAGATTCTCTTGTGCTGCTTTTATTACCACGCAATCACACTACTTACCCCTGAAAATTACTGTTTACTATGACTTTAACTTCAGCTATTACTAACAATGTGCACTCGCTCGCTGCTCAATCCAAGAATTGTCGGGAGCCCCAAATGTTTTTTTTTAATGTAAAACCTTTTAAATTATCTTTTTTAAAAATGTAAAACCCTCTCGGGAGCCCCAAATGTCTTTTCTTTAATTTGAAACCTTCTCGGGGGTCCCAGCTGACTCTTTTAAAAATGTAAAACCTTCTCCGGAGCCTCAAACGTTAATTTTTTGATGTGAAACCTTCTCGGGGGCGCCAAATGGTTTTTTAAGATGTGAAACCTTCTCGGGGGTCCCAATTCCCTTTTGATAAAATCTAAAATCTTCTCGGGAGCCCCAAGTGCCTATTTTTTAATGTGAAACCTTCTCGGGGGTACCAACTGTCTTTTTTTAAATATAAAACCTCCTTGGGAACCCCAAGTGCCTATTTTTTAATGTGAAACCTTCTCGGGGGAACCAATTGTCTTTTTTTAAAAATGTAAAACCTTCTCGGGGGGTCAAATGGTTTTTTTAAGATGTGAAACCTTCTCAAGGGTCCCAATTATCTTTTTTAACAATGTAACTATAATGTATAGAAGATTTCGATGTGCCACAAGAATTTATTAAATTAGAAAAATTACTAAGTAAACACCAACCAAGGAGATCTTGTTGCGGAAACCACTTTCTTGTTACCACGTTCTTTGGTCCTCCAGGCAAATAGTCGGACGCCCATTTCCATAAAAATTTGTAAGATAACTCAGATAAACTTCTATTATGATGTTTCTCAGCTTTTTATCTCGATTTACGCTTTTAAGATTCTAACCTAAACTCAAGTAAATTACATCTTCGGTAGCGTCGTAGTATTTGTTGCAAATCCTGCACATTTAAAAGTGTTAGGTTACACTATTGTCTTTGTGGTACTTATATCAGGTAGTGGTTCCTCCGGTTTATTGTGCATTTGCCTCACTTCGACTATTACGGGTACATTGGGCCTCGGCGGGTACACCAAAGGCTTTAAATTGCGAAAAAGCATGCTCTGACTCTTCTCGAGATCTCCTACATACGGTGTACAGTTCCCGAAGTACTTCTTTGCAATACCATGTGCTCTCTCATGGTGGTGGTACTTTGACCACAAACTCCACAAAAGACTCTTCACTTTGTTCCACATCGATTAATCTATATTATGGAAGCCAAACAGAACTGGGTACAATACCGGGTGTGTGGGATTACCAGAAATGTTGTAGTGAACCGTCAGTACTCCAAAAGCACAAATTCTTTTTTTTTCAAAGATAGTTCTTCCCAAATTGGTTGGAAAACGATTTGATGACTAATCGAGGGGAGGAAGAACACTCCGAGGATATTGCTGCACAGAATAGGTGTGGGAAATCGAAAAAGTACCACAGATCCAAGGAACATTTTGTTATTATTTCCAACTACCACTAACGAAACTGTTCTACACAAGGGAAAAAAACGACAAAATCGATATCGTTACATATAAATTGTAGACGACTGCTTACACACTTGGTGATTATTTAAATACATATATAGTGGTAAATTATTTTAGCGGCACTAAACAGTACAGTTCAGTACTATTTTCACACACATTTAGTCCATTGGATTATTTTGTACGAGAGATAAATAATGATACTAATCATTACAATTGCTATTAACACAACTTCCACTAGAAAATAGTCAAAATAAGAAAAATCAGCTGTTGGACTCCTCAGGTGTTTTGCCCCCTTATGCCTAATAACGTACTCAGCCCACCAAACAACCTTTTCCAGCCCCGTCATCGGCTTATCGTACAAAAGTTTACGACTTTCTTCGATTCGTTTTTTATATCTAAAACAATAAATAGTAGTCAGACAACATTAAACTTAAAATAAAAACAAGTACTTATGGTTTTGGGCAACATTAACTATACATTGTCTTAGTTCCTCCTTGCTCACGGTACTTGGATCAACACCTAGCCCGATCCCCGTGTCTACAATTTTTTGCACATTTGATGGCTGATCTCCCATGAAAGGCATCCCAATGAGTGGTACCCCTCTAGAGACTGCTTCTTCAATGGATTGAAGACCCCCTTGTGTAACGAAAGCACGAATATTTCGATGCGCTGTAAAGAATTTACTAAAATATAAAATTTGGTAAGAAATCACTAACCAAGGATATCCTGTTGGGGAAACCAGTCTCTTGTAACCACGTTCTTTGGTCTTCCAGGCAAGTATTCGGACTCCCATTTCCACAAGACTTTGTAAGGTAATTCAGATAAGGCTTCTATTATTGTGTTCCTCAGTTTTTCATCTAAGTTTACGCTTTGTGTGAGGTTATGTGGCTTATTAGTACTGTGTACTTGCTTGTGGAAGCGGTTGTACCGGTTTCATATGCATCTGCCCCATTTCGACTATAGCGGGTACGTTTGGCCTCGACGGGTACAACAAAGGGTTTACATTTAGAAAAAACATGCTTTGAGCCGTCTCGAGTTTTCCTAAGTACGGTAAATTTTCACCAAAGTATTTTTTTGCAACCCTATATTCTCTAGGTACCCAAATAACATGGTGGTAGTACTCTAAATACAGGTTCCATAATACACTTTTAATTTTTTTCCACACTGACGATTCGATATTATAGAAACCAAATAAAAGATCTGGATACAGCACTGGGTGTCTTGGATTACCAATAATGTTATGGGTGACAGAGATTATTCCAAAGGCCGAAACTCCAATGACAGGTGCCTCGAATCTCCCTCCTAAAGCATACACAATTGGATGAAAAAATTCTACTAAAATCAGATCAAAACATCTGGACTGATCAGCTATCAGTTCTTTGAAGCCAGTACTGTTGAGTTCGGCTTCTATAACAATATCCATAAAGCGGGTAGTAGCATCATAGTTGTGGAAAATGTTGCCATCTTTTGAGAAAAGTTTTTGGATTTTGCTTTGTTTTAGAAAGTTGTAGGTGAAGCTAATACTAATTTCAGTTAGATTTGTCAAGGTTGGGTCGTTTAAAGGATTTGGTGTTACCACGGTAACGTTGTGACCTTTCAAGGACAGTTCTTTCCAAATTGACTGAAAGACGCTTTGGTGGCTGATTGAAGGAAATATGAACACGCCTAATATGTTGCTGCACAGGATGGACACTGATTGTAGAAGAAGTACCACGGTAACGAGGTACATTTTGTGACAAAACTAAAACCAATGTAACGTTGATAGTTGACGTAAATAGTGGGCGGCGATAAAGGTACACATCAATATAATTTTGTGTTACATAAATTAGAATTTAACGAGTTTGTTTAGATTTTATTTGCGCCAGTAAATGGTTAATTGGATTACTTTGTACCAGAGGTAGATAATAGTACCACTCAGTACAACTGCAACTACGACAACTTCCACTAATAAATAGTCAAACCAAGTAAAATCAGCTGCCGGACTCCTCAAGTGTTCCGCCCCCTTATGTCTAATAACGTACTCAGACCACCAAACAAACTTTTCCAGCCCAGTCATTGGCTTGTCGTACAAAATGTCACGAATTTCGTGAATTCGTCGATGGTACTTGTTGTTTTCGGCAACCTCAATTATAAACTCTTTTAATTCCTCCTTGGTCACAGTACCCGGATCAACACCTAGCCCGATCCCTATGTCTATAATTTTGTGGACATTCGAAGGCTGGTCAGTCGCGAAGGGCATCCCAATGAGTGGTACCCCTCTAGAAACTGCTTCCTCAATGGATTGTAGACCACCTTGTGTAACAAAGGCACGAATATTTCGATGTGCTACAACAAGTTATTAAATTAAGAAAATTACTAAGTCAGTACCAACCAAGAATATCCTGTTGTGGAAACCACTTTCTTGTGACCACGTTCTTTGGTCTTCCAGGCAAATAATCGGACTCCCATTTCCACAGAACTTTGTAAGGTAATTCAGATAAAGCTTCTATTACGATTTTCCTAAGTTTTTCGTCTAGATTTACGCTTTTAACGTTCGAACCTAAGCTGAAGTAAATTACACCTTCGGTAGCATTGTCTAGTATTTGTTGCAAATCCTGAGGAAGTGGTTTCACGGGTTTGATGTGCATCTGCCCCATTTCAACTATCATGGGTACATTTGGTCTCATCGGGTACAATAAAGGGTTTAGATTATGAAAAAGCATGCTCTGATTCTTCTCAACATCTCCTACATACGGTGTACCGTCGCCAAAGTACTTCTTTGCAATGCCATGTGCTCTTGGTACGAAAATATCATGGTGGTGGTACCTTGACCACAAACTCCATAGAACACTTTTAATTTTGAACCAAATCGATTGTTCAATATTATGGAAGCCAAATAGAACATCTGGGTACAGTACCGGGTGTGTGGGATTACCAACGTTATTGTAGATGACTGCCAGTACTCCAAACGGGGAAACGCCAACAACAGGTGCCTTGAATCTTTCCGCTAACGCGTACACAACGGGGTGAAGACCATCGACTAGTACCAGATCAAAGTGGTTATATTCGTCTACTATCAGTTCTTTGAAGCCAGTACTGTTAAGTTCAGCTTCTACCATCACATCTAGGAAACGACACACATCGTACAAACTTTGAAAAACGTTGGTGTTTTTTGATAAGACCTCTTGGATTTTGGCTTGTTTTAGAAGGTCGTAGGTGAAGTGGACACTGATTTCGGTTAGGTTGGTTAGAGAAGGGTCGTTTAGAGGGTTGGGTGTTACCACAGTGACGTTGTGACCTTTCAGGGATAGTTGTTTCCATATTGATTGGAAGACGCTTTGGTGGCTAAATGAGGGATATGTGAAGACTCCTAAAATATTGCTGCACAGGGTAGGTGTGGAGAGTAGAAGAACACCAAATACTAGGAACATTTTCAAACTTTTCACACAAGAGAACTAACAACCGCAGTGAAGTCAGTACTACTATATATTAATTACACTTTGACGACTGGTGAAAAACTAGGTCAAGTTTACTAATTATGTGTGGTTGTAAAAGTATTTTGTGGGTACAAACCTATTAAATTGTTTGTATTTTGACCAGCAACTTTTTTCCAATGACACTATACAGTTATTAGAATTCTAAATTCGCGCAATTTACCTAAAGTTGTTTGAAACAAATTTGGAGCTCTCAGCACATACCTATATTATATAATATATAACACATTAGATATATTATTATTGGTTAGAAATGTATCGGCAAGAATTTATAAAAATAAAAATAATTAACACTAACAAGAGTAAAATTAGTTTAAGGGGGAATCCCATTTTAACCTTAAATGAACCCTTAACAACTGGAATATTTTGTACAAGAGATAAATAATGCTGCTAATTATCACAACTACTATTAAGAAAACTTCCACTAGAAAATAGTCAAACCAAGACAAATCAGCTGCTGGACTCCTGAGATGTTTTGCCCCCTGATGCCTGAGAATGTACTCAGACCACCAAGCAACCTTTTCTAAGCCAGTCATTGGCTTGTCGTACAAGAGGTCACGAATTTCCACGATCCGTTTACTATATCTAAAATTACAAACAGTGTCAAACAACTTTCAAAATCAAAGTCAAAATAACATCAACTTACTTGTTGTTTTCGGCAACCTTAACTATACACTTTTTTAGTTCCTGTTTGGTCACAGCAGCTGGGTCAACACCTAGTCCGATCCCTGTGTCTACGATTTTTTGCACATTTGATGGTTGGTCACCCATGAAAGGCATCCCAATTAATGGTACTCCTCTAATAATAGCTTCTTCAATGGATTGAAGACCACCTTGTGTAACGAAAGCACGAATATTTCGATGTGCTACAAGTATTTATTAAAACAAGGAAATTTAGTAAGTAAGTAAGTACTAACCAAGGAGATCTTGTTGAGGAAACCACCTTCTTGTGACCACGTTCTTTGGTTTTCCAGGCAAATAGTCGGACTCCCATTTCCACAGAACTTTGTAAGGCAACTCAGATAAAGCTTGTCTTATCGTGTTCCTTAACTTTTTCTCTAAATTTATGCTTTTAACGTTCGACCCTAAACTAAAGTAGATCACACCTTCGGTAGCACCGTCTAGTATTTGTTGCAAATCCTGAGGGAGCGGTTTCATTGGTTTAATGTGCATTTGTCCCATTTCAACCATAGCGGGTACAGTGGGCCTTAGCGGGTACAACACAGGATTTACATTGAGAAAAAGCATGTTTTGGCCCGCTTCGAGATCTCCTAGGTACCGTAAATCCTGTCCAATGTACTTTTTTGCGATGTTATGCACTCTTGGTATCACAACATCATGGTAGTGGTACCTTGACCATAAACTCCATAAAACACTTTTAATTTTTTTCCACATCGATAACTCGATGTTGTAGAAGCCCCATAGTACGTCTGGGTATAGCACTGGGTGTGCCGGATTACCAAGAATGGTACCGCTAACCTCAACGAGTCCTAGAGCCGAAACTCCAATGATGGATGCGTTGAATCTGTCTGCTAAGGCGTACATAATGGGATAAACATTTTCCACTAATACCAAATCGAAATGATTATGTCTGTTAGTCATTAGTTCTTTGAATTCAGTACTGTTCATTTGGGCTTCTACAAGACTATCTGAAAAACGACCCGTAGCAGCAAACCTTTGAAAAACGTTGGAATCTTTTGATAAGAGTTCTTGTAATGCGGCGGGCTTTAAGAAGTCATAGGTGAAACGAATACTGATTTCTGTTAGATTAATTAAAGAAGGATCGTTTAAAGGATTAGGTGTTACCACAGTGACGTTGTGACCTCTCAAGGAAAGTTCTCTCCATATTGATTGGAAAACACTTTGATGGCTTATCGAGGGAAATATGAACACTCCTAATATATTGCTACCCAGAATAGACGTACAATGTAGAAGAAATACACAGGCGACGAGGTACATTTTGTTATGGAACTGCAACGAAGGTAACGTGTGAATTGTTGTCAAGTGTACAAGGCCGTAAAAACGTACTTAAAAAAATGTATGATACATAAATTTAAGGAAGCTATGAAAAAACTACAATATGATTGAAATAAAACGTTGTTTATGTTGAAGGTTCCGCCTTCCTTAAAAAAGGACAGATGGTAGCCCTGAGAGGGTTTTACATTCTTAAAAAACGACAGTTAGGACTCCCGAGAAGGTTTTGCATTAAAAAAAAAACAAACCCCCGAGAAAGTTTCACATTCTTAAGAAATAGTATATTATTAGCCAAGGTTGCAGAGCCAAGCATTCTAGACCGAGCGCAAATTAGAACCCGAGACGCGCAGCGTCGAGGGCTCTAAGGGCGAGGTCTAGAAGTGGCTTTGCAACCGTGGTTAATATACAATTTTTTTCACTAGTAGAAACCATAAGACAATAAACTGAAAAATAAACGTTCAATTTTTTGACACAACATGATTTTGTTTTGATTTCTAATCAAACTTAATCTAAATCTTCAACACAAAGAAAACCGTTTATATTTGTCGCTGAGTTAATCATTTTATCTTGTACCATCTACCAACTACCATGCGTATACTCAAGTAATGTTTGTAGCACACATTTGTTCATTTTTTAAGAAATAATCACATCAAACATTGCGTACATAACCTCAATTTTTCTTTTTGAACCGGTGGTAGCAAAAGTTGAATTTGCTACCACTAAATGAGTCGACATTTGCATGCGTCCAGGCTGCTAGTGAAAAAATACATTTACGGCCCCCGAGAACGTTTCATATTTTTAAAAAAGACAATTGGGACCCCCGAGAAGGTTTCACATCTTAAAAAACCATTTGGCGCCCCCGAGAAGGTTTTACATTTTTAACACGTTAATATGGAGAGAATTATCCTTGAGAGGTCACAACGTCATGCTAGTAACATCCAACGACCCCTCTTTGACGAATTTGACCGAAATAAGTGTTCACTTCACCTAAAACTTTCCAAAACAAACCCAGATGCTGGAACTGTATTTAAAAGACTCAAACGTTTTTCAGAGATTGATTCCTGCGTACCATTTCATCGATTCTATTGTAGAAGCCGAACTGAACACTTCTATGTTCAAACAACTAATAGCTGACCAGTCCAACCATTTTGATTTGGTTTTGGTAGAAAGGTTTTCATTCCGCTGTGGATGCGATAGCTGGAAGGTTCAAAGCACTTATTAATCTAAATCCTGTTGTGTACCAGCCGAAGTCCAATGGACCCGCTATAGTAGAAATGAATCAGATACACATAAACCGGCGGAACCACTTCCTAAAGTAAGTACAACAAAGACACAAGGAGATCTTCAATCCGTTGAAGACGTAGTCTTTAGAGGGTTACCACTCATTGGGATGCCTTTCATGTGTGAACAGCCAATGAATGTCCAGAAACATCGTGACCTTTTGTACAACAAAGCCATGACAGGGCTGGAAAAGATTGTTAGGTGGGCTGAGTACGTAACGTTAGACAAATGGATGAATTTTAGTACGCCATATAACCTTAAAAAATCGTAGATAAGACTCAAAACATATTGTTATGGCTGAGAAAATTTATAGCTACACATTTAAACAAGTACCATGCCCGATTTTGTATTTAAACAATAACCAGTTTAGTCAAACTGGAATTTATGTACCATGATATCATTATTTATTTCTTTGTGTGTGGAAAGTCAGTAGTGCTCGGAAATGACAAGAAAATGTCGCTTGCACCGTCTGTTATACTCCTTCTACATTCCACACCAGTCTTGTCCATCAATATATTAGGAGTGTTTATGGTTCCGTCCATCAGTCATCAGCGCGTCTTCCAATCAGTATGGCGCGAATTGTCCCTGAGAGGTCACAACGTCACTGTGGTAACACCAGATCCTTTAAACGACCCGTCTCTAACAAACCTAACCGAAATTAGTCTTCACTTCAGTTACGTCTTTTCAAAACAAACTAAAATCTATGGGCTGATTTCAAAAGAATCAAACATCTTTCTAAACCTGGATCCTACTTATCGTTTCATGGATTTAGTCGCAGAAGCTGAACTTAACAGTAGTGAATTCAAAGAACTAATAGATGATCAAACCAAACGGTTTGACTTGATTTTAACTGAATCTTTTCATCCAGTTATGTACGTCTTAGCGGGAAGGTTCAAGGCACCTATCATTGGAATTTCTGCCCGTGGAGTTATGGAAGTCACTTACACCATTCTTGGTAACCCTACACATCCGGTACTGTATCCAGAGGTCTTGTTAAACTTCCACAATGGACGGTTATCACTGTGGAACAAAATTAAAAGTGTTTTATGGAATTTGTGGTCGTGGTACTACCACCATGCTATTTTAGTACCAAGGGGGCATAAAACTGCAATCAAGTACCTTGGTGGAGATATACCGTACATAGGGGATATCGAGGCAAATCAAAGTTTGTTTTTCCTTAATACAAACCCTTTGGTGTACCCGCCGAGACCCAATGTACCCGTCGTGGTCGAAACCGGACAAATTAAACCAATGAAACAGCTACCTAAGGATTTGCAACAAATTCTAGACGGTGCTACCGAAGGTGTGATCTATTTTAGTTTAGGGTCGAACGTTAAAAGCGTAAATTTAGAGAACAAAGTAAGGAACACCATAAGACAAGCTTTGTCTGAGTTACCTTACAAGGTTCTGTGGAAATGGGAGTCCGACTATTTACCTGGACGACCAAAAAACGTGGTCACGAGAAAGTGATTTCCACAACAGGATGTCCTGGGTCAGTGAATACTTACTGATTTTTTTATTTTAATAAATGGTTGTAGCAAATCGAAATATTCGTGCTTTTGTTACACAAGTGGTCTTCAATCCATTGAAGAAGCAATCTTTAGAGGGGTACCATTAATTGGGATGCCTTTCATGCGTGATCAACCAATGAATGTACAAAAATTCATCGACATGGGGATCGGATTAGGTATTGATCCTGTTACTATGAGCAAGGAAGGGCTAAAAAAGTGTATAATTGACGTTGCCGAAAACAACAAGTGAGTTGCAGTTGTTGTGATTTGAGTTTTCCAGCCAATGACTGGGCTGGAAAAGGTTCTCTGGTGGTCTGAGTACGTAATTAGACATAAGGGGGCGGAACGCTTGAGAAGTCCGGCAGCTGATTTTACTTGGTTTGACTATTTATTAGTGGAAGTTGTCTTAGTTGCAGTTGTACTGAGTGGTAGTATTATGTACCTCTGGTACAAAATAATCCAATTAACTATTTACTGGCGCAAATAAAATATAAACAAACTCGTTAAATTCTAAATTATGTATTACTAAATTATTTTTATGTGTACCTTTATCGCCCGCCACTATTTACGTCAACTAACAACGTTACATAGGTTTTAGTTTTGTCACAATATGTACCTCTTTAGCGTGGTACTTCTTCTACAATCAGTGTCCATCCTGTGCAGCAACATATTAGGCGTGTTCATATTTCCTTCAATCAGCCACCAAAGCGTCTTTCAGTCAATCTGGAAAGAACTGTCCTTGAAAGGTCACAACGTTACCGTGGTGACACCGAACCCTTTAAACGACCCAACCTTGACAAATCTAACTGAAATTAGTATTAGCTTCACCTACAACTTTCTAAAACAAAGCAAAATCCCAAAACTTTTGTCAAAAGATGGCAATATTTTTTACAACTTTGTTGCTACTACCCGCTTTATGGATATTGTTGTAGAAGCCGAACTCAACAGTACTGGCTTCAAAAAACTGATAGATGATCAGTCCAGATGTTTTGATTTGATTTTAGTAGAATTTTTTCATCCAATTATGTACACTTTAGGAGGGAGATTCAATGCCCCTGTCGTTGGAGTTTCTGCGTTTGGACTAATATCAATCAACGACAAGATTGTTGGTAATCCCACACACCCAGTACTTTACCCAGATCTTTTATTTGGGTTCTATAATATCGAGTCGTCAGTGTGGAACAAAATTAAAAGTGTTTTATGGAGCGTGTATTCAGAGTACTACCACCATGTTATTTGGGTACCGAGAGAACGTAGGGTTGCAAAAAAGTACTTTGGTGAAGATTTGCCGTACTTAGGAGATCTCGAGACGGGTCAAAGCATGTTTTTTCTAAATGTAAATCCTTTGTTGTACCCGTCGAGGCCCAACGTACCCGCTATAGTCGAAATGGGGCAGATGCATATGAAACCGATACAACCGCTTCCTCAAGCAAGTACACAATACTATTAAGCCACATAACCTCACATTTTGACATGTACAGGATTTGCAACAATTACTAGATGAAGCTACCGAAGGTGTTATCTATGTCAGCTTAGGGTCAAACATTAAAAGCGTAAATTTAGAAGAAAAATTGAGGAACACTATAACAGAAGCCTTATCTGAACTACCTTACAAAATTTTGTGGAAATGGGAGTCCGAATACTTGCCTGGAAGACCAAAGAACGTGGTCACAAGAAACTGGTTTCCCCAAACGGATCTCCTTGGTTAGTGATTTCTTACCAAATTTTCTATTTTAGTAAATTCTTTACAGCACATCGAAATATTCGTGCTTTCGTTACACAAGGGGGTCTTCAATCCATTGAAGAAGCAGTCTCTAGAGGGGTACCACTCATTGGGATGCCTTTCATGGGAGATCAGCCATCAAATGTGCAAAAAATTGTAGACACAGGGATCGGGCTAGGTGTTGATCCAAGTACCGTGAGCAAGGAGGAACTAAGACAATGTATAGTTAATGTTTCCGAAAACAATAAGTACTTGTTTCTATTTTACGTTTAATGTTGTCTGACTAGTATTTATTGTTTTAGATACAAAAAACGAATTGAAGAAAGTCGTAAACTTTTGTACGATAAACCGATGACGGGGCTGGAAAAGGTTGTTTGGTGGGCTGAGTACGTTATTAGGCATAAGGGGGCAAAACACCTGAGGAGTCCAACAGCTGATTTTTCTTATTTTGACTATTTTCTAGTGGAAGTTGTGTTAATAGCAATTGTAATGA